TCGTTTTAAAAAAAAAATTGTATGTATACCCCAACCCCGTATGAAAAGATAAAAACGCTCATCCATTAACAATTCTGTTGGCCTTCAACATCTTCCTTATCAAGAGACATTTTTGTCTTTTCATACGAGATTGAGGTGAAAATACAAAGTTTTTTAAAAACGGGGTGCAGAGTCTAATTCGGACAATGAAATGAGGTGTAAACTCAAACTATCCCTTCTAATATCTTTCACTAAAAATCCCACACCGGAGATACTACCTAATACTTCGTATATTAGATTAAATTCTATCATATTTACAAGTATGTCTTCTTTACATTTCATAATAAAAGTCATGAGATCGTTTCAACTTTAACCCCACACCCCTAACCCCGACCCCACCCTACCTACCCCACTTCAGCCCTAAACCAACTGCTCTTGTATCAAACTGGAGTTTAAAAAAATTGAAAGCAAGTATTGAGGGGCAACTCATAAATATTTCGAAGTAGCGGTTGTTTGCTCACTCACATGTACACAATAGAAAAACCATTTTACTTAAATTTTTATTGTAAGAAATATGAGTAAAGTGAGTACAAACATTATATAATTCCAATTGTAAGAAATGGGAATCCATGGAAAACACCCTCTATACTAGCATAGTTTTGCACATTATATTAAAAAGTACTTCGTATCAAAGTTGTGTAAGCATTATATAATTCTAAAGTTGTTCAATTTTGTAAAATATATTACTCCGTAAAATGTGTCCAAATGTGCGTCCCTTTGCTTATACACTTGTTTTTATTCAACAATCCAAGGTTGTGACTTTTCGAGCTTTGTAGCCGTTCCTTGATCCAGATACGATAGTAAAATCGATAAGATGAAATACTGTTTTTTTAGAAATAATCGAAATGCTACGTAGTATTTAAGTGGGGGATTGACCTAAATAAGACTAAATAAATCCTTAATTGTCAAAATAGGACTAAACACTAAAAATTCCCTAAATAGGAGTTATTATTTGTAGTTGGACATAAACACCCTCAAGTTTGGAAAACAAACTGCCGCTGATAGAATCCAAACCGCCATCACTCGCCGGTCGCCGTCAGACGCCCACCGCCGGTCGCCGTCGGACGCCCACCGCCGGTCGCCGCCGCCACCTTAGAACTGGACAACTCCACTACAGATTTGGCCTTTGTTGGTGCAGATCTGGTCTTCTCCATCATAGATCTGACTAGATTTGACTGCCGTCAACCGCCGGCCTTGAATATCCGACTGCCACCGTCGATGTCCGACCGACCCCACTGCAGATTCGGCCAACCCCGCTGAAGATCCGGCCGATCCCGCCGGTAATGCCAACATATTTTCAGAATGCCAAAACGAATTTAGAATGCCATTGTAATGGCATTTTTCTTGAGAAATTACAAAATATTCGAAGTGTAAGAATGCCATTTTGATGGCATTTTCTACTAAGCTTTGGCAATTTGAACCACCAAAGAAGAAATAGAGCACATACTTACGATGAAACAAAAGAGGGGAAGAGAGAAACACATAAGAGGCGGATGAGGAAAGAGGGGAAGATACTCCGGCTATAGATCTGGACTTGCTACTCACTCCCTCGTTGATACTCCGGCTCTGCCTGCCTCCGTTGTTCTCTACTGCTCTCCCATGGGGAAGCTCATTGTTGCAGGTTTCACTCGGAGAAGAAGAGATGAGAAAAAAGCAGATCAACTAGTAACCTGAGGTATGAGCAGATCGGAAAAGAGTAGTTGATGTGGTAGAATAAACTAGGAATGGGGAGATGTTGATTTGCAGAAAACAGAGCTCATTTAATTAGGGAGAAGATAAGTTGATGTCTGGAGAATGGATGTGGTTGACTGGTTGTGCGTAGAAGATAAGCTGATGGGCGAGGGAGCCGAATCGCACATGTAGAAGAGGGTAAAACAGGAATAATAATCCCATTTAAGGAATAAATTATAGTTACTCCTATTTGAGAATTTCAGGAACAATTTAGTCCTATTTAGAACAATAAACTCTATTTAAGTATATGTCGAATAATCGAAGTGCTTAATTTTTACAAAATGAAATACTGTTTTTTTTTATAAAAAGTATGAAAATAGTTCGAGTTTTTTCCGGAATAATACTAATTAAATAAACAATTCTCAAAAAACTGTTGAAAAAAATAATTCTCAAACTACTGTCGGAGTTAGCCGTGGTTAAGAAAAGCCGTCACTTGAAGTGGCGGCTAGAAAAGCCGCCACTTCAAGTGGCAACTATTTCTCTTACAGTATAAAAGCCGCCACTTGGAGTGTCGGCTCTTCTCTTACAGTACCACACCAGCTTGTTCAACCGAAAAAAACACAAAAGCTTGCTCAGTACTGTACAATTAACTCAGAAACATTAAACAACTCCTATTTATAGTCAATATAGAGCACTAAAAAACAAAACATATCCGGGACACAAAACGAGTCAATGAACTACATTGGATCACAGTACTAAGAATATCACATAAAGTTGATAATAAATCCATTGTTTCAAAAAAAAAAATCATCAACTAGTTCATGTTTAACACAATAATGTAAAGTACAAATATCACAAGTCAATGTGATCATCATCATAAAGCTCATGTGGCTATGCTTGTGCCTGAGGTCGGGGGCGTCTGCGCTGATTGCTTGTGCCAGATACACAGATTGGTGGGAGTACGACCACAGTCTAAGATAGATATTCGAGGTCCGCCTTGAGGATGACTTGGTTGAGACAACGTTTTACTTCTTTACCTGTTGATGCTGATGACATTGTTGAGCACCAGTATGCGAGAGCCTACACATTGATGCTTATGGGAGTCTTTACATTTGCGGACAAGAGCGGTAATGAGGTGCAGGCCGATTCTTTACTTACCCCCTGTTGGAGACTTTTGATGTAGCTGTGTTATATAGTTGGGGAAGTGCGACTTTAGCATACCTGTATCGGCAGTTGTGTTGAGGTTGCCATTGCGGCTGTGGCGAGATGGGTGGTTTTTTATTGCTCATACAACTATAATCGTGGGAGCACATTCATATTGGTAGACCTGTCATATTGCGATATCATGGGATAGATGGTGGTCCTCTTCATGATGCTCTGGATCTGCACGATCGATCTGTACTTGAATTGGACCACATCATGTCCGTGGCGAGGACCCTTTGGGTCGTACGTACGTTTATGAATTTTGTTTTTTTATGTATGCCGTAATGGAATCCATTTCATATTCTTGCACATTACTGTATGGAGGATGGCTTTTTACTGACGTCACTCGCACGTCATCCACTGCTGGATTAGGGTACTATCGAGATGCATTATATGGCATGTGTGATGATCATGTATACCGTGTATATCATTAAGTATAACTACTTTGTTTTACGTTTTTATAAACAATGATGTCATAATGTTTTGTGATGACATGGATGCCACCTGTTGGCCGAGAGCACACTGAGACATGACAATCACGTGTGCCCTTGATTTGTTTTGATGTAATGGAGCATCACATTCATGATCACGTATTACGACAGTTCGGGTTACAACAGGTTATTCCCTTACCTTGTGATACTTCTGTGGACTTACACAAGATTGACAGACGAGGGAAGCACACCGAAGATCGGGGGATGCACCATATTCAGTACATCACCATGTGGGATGAGAGGGTGGCGTATATAGTGGACGGGACCCCATCAGTAGTCCCCACAGTCTCTGCAGATTACGCGAGATGGTATCACACCATCACACAAGTGTTCATCTCTCCCAATTTTCGTCTATCCACCGATTATTACGAGCCTAGCTCAGTCGCTCTTCATTTGACAATACACAATATATTCACATGAATGACTTTTATTTATTTATTTATTATTTATTTATTTATTTATTTATTTATTTATTTATTTATTTATTTATTTATTTATTTATTTATTTATTTATTTATTTATTTATTTATTTATTTATTTATTTATTTATTTATTTATTTGTTTATTTATTTATTTATTTATTTATTTATTTATTTATTTATTTATTTATTTATTTATTTATTTATTTATTTATTTATTTATTTATTCATTCATTCATTCATCCATTCATGTGTTTATCACTAATAACCATGCTTTCATTATAGACATGAGATTTGCATATTATCTATCACAGAGCGACTGTTGTACTTGATGAGGGGTAGATGTACATGGATATCATGAGGTATGCTCGGGCATTCCTGCATTATGTGCTAATGTGTTGGGTCGAGTAGACCATGGACACATGGTCGCCTCTCAGTATTCCACGACATCTACATTCATAGTAGGGTCTTCCCAGGCACTACGGCGTGATAAAATGGTTCTTCAGCCTTGTAATCAGCGCAGACGCCCCCGAACTCAGGAACAAGCACAACCACATGAGCTTTATGATGATGATCGCATTGACTTGTGATATTTGCACTTTACATTATTGTGTTAAACATGAACTAGCTGATCGAATCATCAACTTTATGTGTTATTCCTAGTATTGTAATCCAATGTAGTTCATTGACTCGTTTTGTGTCTCGGATATATTTTGTTTTTTAGTGCTCTATATTGACTATAAGTACCAGCTGTTTGATGTTTCTGAGTTGATTGTACAATACTGAGCAGTTTTTTTTCCCGGTTGAATAATCTGGTGTGGTATTTAATACTTCACTTCAATACTGAGAAGTGAAGTGACGACTTTTGTACTGTAAGAGAAGAGCCGCAACTTCTTTTGTCCTGTAAGAGAAGAGCCCCACTTCAAGTGGCGGCTGTTTTTAAATATGGTTGACTCCAGCAGTATTTTAGAAATTATTTTTAACCAAACAGTATTTTGGAAATTATTTATTTAATTAACATTATTCCGGGAAAAATGGTATGATGTTACATCTTACCAAAAATGCCTGTATGTAGGTATGAATTTTCGACTGAAATTCCAACACATTTTTTTCGAAAGGAACACAAATTTTTTTTGAAAGGAACACAATTTTTCTGTTATGGTAACTTTGGTATGCAAATATTTTAGCCCAACATATATAGCTTTAGTTTTTTGAAAAGGGAGAAATGGCGCAACTTGGCTAGAGAAAAAAATTCAGAGCAATCAACTACCAACCCACCCTGCTCCGCGTAACGCGGGCATAATCCCGGAGAGTAGAAGCGCTGGCACGAAGAAACCTCACTCTGTGAATATATAATAGCAAGGGAAAGAAGACGACACTGGGATTTGAACACAATCTTGAATTGTTCGACCCAAAGTCCCGGCTCTGTGAGATCCAGGGAGCGAGTTCGGAGCAAGTGAAGATGGAAACAACTACAACAGCTCTTGCAGGCACCGGTATATCAACTCCTCGGTGGAATGTGGACCGACCTTTTCTTACCGGCCGTTTGCAACAGGTCCTCATTCCATCTCCTATTCCACTTTATGAATTTGCAATTCAATTTTCTCGTTCGTTTAAGAAAAGATATTGAAAATGTATCCAGGAAACAAAATCCACATTTCACGAATCCAAGAGTTTCTCCATGGATTCTTTCAGGTAATTTGCTTCACGTCAGCTTATTTTTCTCCCGGACTCACTCATAGGTCTCTATAATTTTGGAGCTATAATTTTGGAGCTGCGGTCCGTCAGTAAAGACACATTTTGAAGCTCAAAGTTCTCTGATTATCCGGAAGCTAATATCATTTGCTGCTATTTTCTACATGTACACTAACTCTTATCAGGAAAGTTTTTTTGTACTAAAAGAATAAGATATAGAGTTCCTTTTGCGTTTTTTTTTTAATTACAGTTCCGGAGCGGATAAGGCTATATGTTGCTACCATGCTGCAATGCAGGTATTCAACAATGTCAATGTTTGTATAAAGCGAATCTTTGTATCTAACGGACATCTGGTTTCTTTGACACCTAATAATAATAGATATCTGTTTGACTGTTTCTTCATGCTGGCATGTTGTTTGCGATATGCAGGAACTGATTGTTATTGATGATCTCTTGTCTACTCTGGTTGGAATTGAAGGTCGTTATATTTCAATTAAAAGATCCCGAGGGAAGGGAGATAGTATATCTTTTCTGTGTGATGCGTCTATGGATCTTGCACTCCAGGTTTGGTTTTTGTTAATGGCATGGGAGGGGAAAGTACACGACAAGCTGTGGGCAGTCTTGTATATATAATATATCTAGCACATCCTAAGTGAAATTTCATAAAACCATACATTCTTATATTTAAATATTTATTTATTTAAGATTACTGAGAAAAAAGTTATTATATCTAAATAATTATACCTTAAAAGAACTTAAGAATTCCTAAATATGTTTTATGGTTTTATCATTTTCACACGTCTAATAGTGTTTATGAACAAAGGAAAAGAGCATCATCAAGAAGCTACAGTTTGTTGTGTCATTGAACATCATTTCATATTCAATCATATAATTTGAGTTACTACGTACACAAAGACTAATTGTGCCTACGATATAATAATATTTTCCTCAACAAGTCTGCCTTAAGATTACTTGATGAACAATAACTATCTAATCCTGCAGGAATCTTCAAAAAGGCTGTTCCCGTTATGCGAGAGTTATTTGCTGATCAATCAATTTGTTGAGACACGATCACAGTTCAAAACTGGTTTAGTTAACCATGCCTTTGCAGCTGCTCTAAGATCACTTCTTCTGGTAGGTTTTGCATGTCAATCATTGCACTTTAAGCTTAACAGCATACTTATTTATTGTCAGTCCATGATATTTCTTTTGAACTTTGGTGGCAGTTGATTATTTATTTGTCATCGGTTATAATGTTCTACACATGTGCCTCTTAGCTTCAAGCTTAGGGAACTCTACTTAACTGACACTTGGTTAAGTTTTGTGTATATGAGTGACAGTTACGTAGCTTCTTGATATCATGTAGGGCTTATTCACCCCTTCTTGTTGAAGGAAAGGGTCAGATGAATGGCTCCACAAAAGAATGTGTTCATTTTGATCCTACAAAATGAACTAAAATTGATAATTTGATATATAATTGTACTTGTTTGCTCTTCTCATCTTCACAAATTTTAGCATATGCATGGCTCACCTCTTTTGAAAAGTTTATAAATTGTGAGCATCTAAAAGCGGATAAAGATTCAATCAAGGAATAGTAAAGAGGCGAATAAAAGTGTCAATTTTAGGATTACCAAGCCATGGTGGCTCAGCTTGAGCATCAGTTTCGGTTGGGAAAGCTTTCTATACAAGGATTATGGTTCTATTGTCAGGTATTTAGAATTCATTCTCTTTTGCATATTCATACGGAGTATTTTATTTTTAGACTTTATGTTAAGTGTTCTTTTGAACTGTTTATTTAGCCAATGATGGGTTCAATGCAAGCGTTGTCCATAGTGGTAAAAAAGGCTTCATGCAGTAATATATCGGGTTCAGCAGTCATTAATCTCTTGCAAAGCCAGGTGCATAACTAGAGTATTTGACTAAACTTTAGGTTTGTTTAAACTACTTTTACCGATACCACGCAGCTTCAAATTTCTTTAGCTAGAAATTTATCTTTATGATAATTATATTTCTAGGCCAAGGCAATGTCTGGTGATCATGTAGTCAGGTCTTTGCTGGAAAAGATGTTGCAATCAGCTAGCAGTGCATATCTTGGGATACTAGAGAGGTATTCTGTAGACTGTACTTGATAGATTGTAATTATGAAGCAGGTCCCGTGAAGTGTACTGGGGCTCTTTTGACCTTATCTCATCTTCATGTAGTTGTCATGCTTTATGAGATTTAAAGTTTCATCTCATTAGTTATTAGGAAGTGCAGACAAAGTGTTAGTTTCAGATTTTATGAACTTTAACTAGACCTGATGGTAAACTGATACCTCAAGTTATATGGCATTGATGTCTCTGAAATGATTTAAAAGTTCACTAGCTGAATTTGAAGGCAAACCATTCTGCCTTTTATGGGCTAAGGTGGAGTCTTCCTCTTGCATATACCTCTATCGTTAAAATTTTAAAAGGCAGTCTCTACTGCTTCTTTAGATAAATAATACTCCCTTTGTCCTGAAATAATGTTCATCTTTTCCTTTGTGGTACGGACCAAAATAATTTCCCTCTTTCTTTTCAGGAAAGAAATGTGACGGTTGATATTGTCCCACTCTTTTGTACCTAATCTCAACCACACACTTATTTTTTATCACACTCCATGTTAAGCGTGCCAAGGCAGACAAAAAAAATGAATTAGGGACACGGGGAATAAGTATTTTTATTGCTATAGCAAATAAATATGTTAATGCATTTCAGGTGGGTGTATGAAGGAAAGATTGATGACCCTTATGGCGAATTTTTTATCGCTGAGAACAAGTCCCTTCTCAAGGTATAATAATTGCCTTCGCAAGGAAAATGTTCACATTTTTTGGTTGAAACTTAAAAGGCTCAAGACATTATACTCAAGTACTTGTATGAGAACCATACCTTAATTGAAACCTGTCCTTTATGCAGGAGAGTCTCACTCAAGATTATGATGCCAAGTATTGGCAACAACGTTACAGCCTCAAGGGTGATATTCCAAGTTTTCTTGCAGATGCTGCTGAAACGATTTTAACAATAGGAAAATATTTGAATGTCATGAGAGAGTGTGGACACAGTACTCAGGTATATAGCATTTTAACTTGGAGTAATATAATATCATTCGTATTCCAATTTAGAACAGTTACTTGTACATTTATTTCTGTATTATTTCCCACAAATTTGCTAGCATAATCTTGACAAGAGGTACTTCATGAATCTTGCTAGGTTCCAGTTGCAGAAAATTCAAAGTTGACTAGTGTTGGTTCAAATCACCATTATCTTGAGTGCATCAGGGCTGCTTATGATTTTGCCAGTGGCGAGCTATTAAACCTAGTTAAAGAAAAGGTGAGGAAATGCGAACTGAGTAGTGCAATCCATTGTTGGCCTTCGGTAGAAAATTCAATGATGTAAAGTTCCATGCCAAATATCAGTTAACTTTCATATTTTCATTGGCAGTATGATCTTATGGCAAAGTTGCGGTCTATCAAGCACTACCTTCTCCTTGATCAGGTATTAAGCTGTCAGCAAAGCAATGCAATATCTCTAGGCATTAAGAAAAGCTAATTGGCAATCTTGTGGGTCTTTTCAGGTGATGAAAGTGCAAAAGTATTGTTCCCTTAATTCTTTATGAATATACATATAAGTCAATGTATTTCTGATCACTCCCGACTCTCGACCTTTCCTCTAGCTGAATTATACTGTTTCACATTCTATTTGATGTCTTCCCACTTTGCATACTAGAGTAAAGTTTGTTCTACAAACTTGCACTTGTAAATCTTGTCTCTCTGGATACCTTTTATTTTTGGATAGGACGTTGGGGGTTAGCATGGGACTCTTGACTACTTTGGCTGTTGAGTTTAGGTTAGATTCATTAAAGATGCTCTACTCTAGCAGCTTACTTTCATAATAGCAGTGACAAATGATTGGATTAGGTAAACTTTTATTCGGATTATAAATAAGGGATTTAAAACAATCTGTTATTCCATTTATGATCCTTAAGATTTCATACAAATCCAACTCATTCACATTTTCTTATAGAATCCCTATGTAGAAACGGTTGTGCAATGCACATAATGATACCTTAGCAGATATAAACATTAAACAGGTAGTAGCTAACCAACAAAAAATAAACCATCAACAAAAGGGGTAAATCCATTGAGCGTGATAGATTTATACAAAAACTTCATAGAAGTTTTTTATGCGAACGGATGGATTAATAATATAATTGATGTTTCACTAACCATCTTTATAACACAAATGGATAGGTTGAATCCCATTCACGATTTTTTAATTGATAGACCCAATGGATCAGTAATTATTTTTATCTTTATAATAATACAAGTGGATCGATTAAATACATTATTATTAATTTTTCAATAATTTTGCTGGACGGGTTTACTTTTTGGATGGATGGGGACGGCTGGACTCTTTAGCACCTTTATATGCTATCTCGTAATTATCGTCATCATTCTGACGGATTATGTAGGGTGACTTTTTGGTTCACTTCATGGATATAGCTAAAGAGGAGCTCATGAAGAAGCTAGATGAGATTTCAGTGGAAAAACTTCAGGTCTTGTTTATTGTAGTCTTTTCTCGGAATAATATGTCTGTTAGTTTTCCTAGTCAGTCATTTTGTTACAAAATGTCTTATTTTTGTGTTATGCTTTCTCATTATGTAGTCTCTTTTGGATCTTGCTCTGCGAACCACAGCTGCTGCTGCTGATCCTTGCCATGAGGACTTGTCATGTTGTGTGGTAAGTGACAAATAGCACATAGACATTATGACCAACAAATTGCACTTAAAAATAGGAATTAAGAAATCCAAAGTGATGCAATATGTTATATTTTTGCACGTCAAATAAGTAAATACCATATGTGTTTTCACAATATATTATCAAAAGACAAATAGCACCTCTATTTAGAGAACTTGATGATTACACACGAGTATCAATTTCACTTTCTGGTTTCAGGAAAGAACAACTTTGCTAAAAAGGCTGAGTACGCTAAAAGATCTTGATGCTAACCAGGTGGCTTCAGAAAGTAGCCACAACTTAGATGAACCAGCTAGTATTACGGGCTTGGAAACATTTTCATTGAACTACAAGGCATGTGATGGCATTTTATTTATAGTTCATGTATTTCCTAAAAGAACTCTCCGCCCTCTTTTAATCTTCTTCCCTTCCCTTTCCATCTCCATGTAGTCTCACACTCTCCCTCTTTTCTTTTATGTGTTATTCACATTCTTTGTTTCCTTTCTAAATAAATACCAAGCACACAATTTCATTTTCTTTAACTTCCTGCTATGTCAATTCACGAGCGTGAATGGAGATGTAGGTAGTATTACTTCATTGAACGGATATTTTGAGTTATTCGTAAACCATTGCAATAGCAACCTGTATTTTTATTACCTCGTGATGTTTTCAATAGTTGCTGGTATATGATGTGCCTTGTTCGGTTGACTTTCAACATGCTGCCTCTTTCTGTATTATATCTCCATTCATGTCAGTTACAGTAGTGGTTAGTGCTTACTCAAATTTGATTTGGATTTCAGGTTCAATGGCCTTTATCCCTCGTAATATCAAGGAAGGCCTTGACAAAATACCAACTAATATTTCGGTTTCTATTTCATTGTAAACATGTTGACCAACAGCTCTCTGGGGCATGGCAAGTACATCAAGTATGTGACTTAAGTTTGTTTTGTCAAATTTCAGCAAATTATGCAATATCTCTTAGTCTCCTCTAAAATCTCTCTTTTCTCCTCATTTGTTCAGGGTTTCCGGAAACTTGATATGCATGGCACTGCAATCTCTGTGTCATCATTACTATGTCGCAATATGCTTAAGTTTACTAACAGCCTCCTTCACTACTTGACATCTGAGGTAAGTGCTGCTAATGACTAAAATAAAGCAACTATAAAATGCTTCTATGCTTATGCCACGATATCATGCAGAACCAAAGATAGTATGAACAAACTTCAAACTATCTTGATAACATTGTCTTCGTTCTTCAGGTTCTTGAGCCTAATTGGCATGTCATGCAGAACAGACTTCAAACTGCTAAAAGCATTGATGAGGTGAGGTCTCATAAGATTCAATTTTGCCCAAGTATTTTCAATTCAAGCAACTTGAGTTAGGGTATTGTTCTGGATTTTTAGACCACTTTTTGTCCAAAAGTTTGATGGTAAAGTAAAAGTGTTGTGTCTTTAGAGCAAGACACGACTGTCAGGATATGCTTTCAAACGACAGCACCCAGTTCTTGACAAACTTATTAGTTATTTAGCTATAAAAGCATTCTTGCCACATGCACTTTTATATATCCACAATACTTTGTGTCTGTTTGGTAGCCTTTACGGCTATTCTTTTTTCATCGAAATTGTTAACAAAACAAACTAATGTATTTATTTAATGCCAATTTGGAAATGAAAAAAGTAGGGTTTGCGGTACTTTTTTGGACGAATCTGAATTTTCTGAAGATGACCATTTAAATTTTTCTTAAAATCAGATATTTTCCCAGAAATTTACCAATATCAGCAACTCTGTCTATCAGCCACATTCCATGGTTTTAGCCAAAGTGGCTCTTTATATCATAAATATCGCTTACCAAACAAACTTTTTCTCCCACATCATAACACAATACTTTTTAATTGCAGTTTAGCACATTATAGCAGTCAATGTAATCAAAGTCGAGATTTAACTCATAAAATCGCTTACCAAACAAACTTTTTCTCCCACATCATAACACAAGACTTTTTAATTGCAGTTTAACACATTATAGCAGTCAATGTTATCAAAGTCGAGATTTAACTCATAAAATCGCACGACTTTACGATTCATAAGCACAACATCAATTCAAATCCCATATAAAATCGTATAAAATTGTACTTCAATCGCTAAAAGTGGTAAAAATTCGCGATTTAAAACGAATGAGGGATTTTGAATTACATGACAAAGCATGCTCGGAACAATCTTCAGTGAGATTTGTGATTCTCAAGTATCAAGAGGAGTTTTATATAAGGTGAAGAAGAGGCGGAGTTCTTATGTCCTTCCGGTGAGGGAACAAATGCAAAGCATACGCAGAGCACAAAATTCCAACTAAAATAACTACTGCTGACCAAGAATACAACCCACGTCATCACCCCATAGGAATTCTTTTCCACAACTAATAAGTAATAATGCATACATTTGGATCTATTATTATGCACATATATAGTCCCAACTACGCAATCCAAATCTACCCAAATTACAAAATACAAGTACGAAATTTTTATGGACTGTTTTACTATATTATTCAGAATTTAAGAAAAACATACATAGTATAATCTTAAGATTTTGGGTTTGATTTCATTGTTCAATATTTGTACATTCTATCTAACAATACCATGTAACTTTAATTTATACTCTTGTTGTTTTTATACTTATCGTGAAATTTGATTAAAAAATCAAATTTATTCTGATTGATGGTTGTTCTATGATTAATTGTTTACTATTAATTGTTTTGTGAACTATGATTAAGACATCATTCTAAGATTTAACCGTATGGCCTGATTTATTATTACTATTAATTTCTGATTTCTTTTATCTATATATTTTAATAATATTTATTCTTGTTATTTTATAAAATCTTACGATTTACAATTCGATTTTCAAATTCTTTCACGGGTTTGATCTAAAAATATGATTTTAACAACCTTGGAAGCGGTAATACCACACTTACCGTTAGTTATATCTTCATCTGAATAAATGATTCACAGTTTTTGCCGTGACATATTCAATTCTTCATAAACTTTCCTCCTGCCTACTTCTTTCTCCTGCTAAGCAGGTAATACAGTGCCATGATTTTTTCCTCGACAAGTGCCTGAGAGAATGCTTACTTCTTTCACCTTCTATTCTGAAGGTAGTACATCTCCTATCACTCTTGTATTTGCTGATTAATATAATTTGGTTCAACCTTTTGAACGGATGGAAATCTTCTTAATGCATGCAGAAGGTTGAACATTTAAAAGCGATATGTCTACAATACGCAGCAGCTACTCAAAGGTTGATTATTGCTGCCTTTGAGGTTCCCACAGTGGCTCCTTTGGCAGAAAAGTTCAACCGTTTAAAACTAAGGTCCCAATCGCAGATGCTGAAACCAGCGACTGAAGATGCTACTGTATTTGAATCCATTATGTAAGTTAAAAGACGACTCGGTTTTATATCTCATTGCCCATGTTTATGGCTTTTGTCTCTACTAAGAAGTCGTGACTGAATAATATTTCAGGAAGTTTGAGAGGGAATTCACTAGTGAGCTTCAGAGCCTAGGACCAATTTTTAGTAGCGGGTCTCGAGCTGAGCCATATTTAACTCATCTTGCACAATGGATTCTCGGTGTAGGGAATGACCAATAAGTTGCAACGTCTTTTCTTTCATATTCTGTGATATGTGTTCGTTTCTGGTTAAGAGTTATTCTTTCCATTCGTGCACTTGAATTGGCCACTATGTCATTAACGAAAGTTTGGTTCAACAGGCTTTCATGCCTTTCAATTATCTTATCTTTTCACTTGATAACCAAGTTTTATTGTGAACCAAACAGTACAGGGGGGCAGAAAGCTGCAGATACATTTCAGAAGGAGTAAAGGGTCAGTTTGGTCCTCGAAGTTGCAAAAAAGGGGTCAAATAAGTCCTTATATAGAAGATTCTGTCCGGACGTGCCATTTGAGGTGGCTCCCGATAGAATTTTTTGATGAAATTTTTTGAGCATCTTATTCATTAAGTCTAGTTTACTCATACCAAATTTCAGCTAACAATTCAATCGGGGAGACATTCAAATGAATTCTTGAAGATAACTGCGCTTTTAACGGCACAGTTATCTTCAAGAATTCATTTGAATGTCTTCCCGATTGAATTTTTATTTGAAATTTGGTATGAGTAAACTAGACTTAATGAATAAGATTTTAAAAAAAATTCATCAAAAAATTCCACCGGGAGCCACCTCAAATGGCACGTCCGGACAGAATTTTCTGTATAAGGACTTATTTGACCCTTTTTTTGCAACTTCGAGGACCAAAGTGACCCTTATCCCCATTTCAGAAGTGTATCTTTTGGCTACTAAAAAAGGTTTGGCTAGGAGCCATGGAATATTTTAAAGAGATTTCCCTAAATAAGACAAAATAAAAGCAAAATTTCAACAATAGGATCTTGAGGTCTAAATTCCCAAAGTAGGAATAACCCTTCTTATTCTACCCTTTCCCTTGTCATTCTTAATAGGATTTTTTAAATAATAATAAAGCATAAAAAGATTAAAATAAAAAAATTAAAAACATAAAAAATAAATAAATATGCAGGTTTCAACCACCACATTCCAGCACTGCCACCTCCGGTCGTGATGACAATTTTGAAAAAAAACTAGAAATCCTTAAAAAGTAAAAGGAAAAATTGATAGTAATAATCCGAACTATTGATGGTCCGCCCATAATAATCCCAACTATCGATTATTTCAAAATAATCTCAACTTTAGGGACCTTCCGCCAATAATGGTCCCTATAAATAAAAATTCGTAGTTTCTAAAGTGGATGATAAGAGATATAACAAGTAATCCCTATAAATAATCCCAACTTGTAATTTTACGCTTAATTTCTATTTAAAATTCACTTTTTATAGGAGGTAATATCTGTTCATGAACCATTATTGGCGGATGGTCCATATAGTTGGGATTATACAAAAATAATCAATAGTTGGGATTATTATCAGTGAACCAGCAATAGTTGGGATTATTGTTTTCAATTTTTCCAAAGTAAAAATGTCATCTCATGAAATTTTCAAAGGAATGTGACATTTTTTTACACAAGATTGTACTACTTTATTTTTTCTGGCGATTGGAGCTGGTGGTACTGGGAGGTGGAGGATGCGGTGACGGTGGTGTATACATTTTTTAATATTTTTTTGGGGTATATTTTTTTTTTAAAGATTTTTTTAAGTTTTTTAAATATTTATTATTATTATTATTATTATTACTATTATTGTTGTTGTTGTTGTTGTTGTTTTACTTTGTTTTTATTATTAATTTATAAATAATTTTATTATTTTTAATTTTTTTTATTATAAATAAGATTATGTTTTTCATTAATTAATCTATTAATAGGAAAAAGTGACATATGTTACTCCTATTATGAAAATAAAATGATTATTGTCCTATTATTACATTTTTAGGGACGGTTATGAAATAAATTGGGGAAAATGCATTTTACACTTCTTAGCTAAGCTGTCTGGTTGGTTCCTGGTATTGGAATGCATCTTACTTTGTTGATTGGCTTATATTGAGGTCATTGTTAGCACATGGTATTGCTAATTGTCTTAGTAATCCAAATAAAACAAGTCACTGAAGAATTAGCACATGGTATTCCTCTAGTAAATTTATAGGCTCGGTTCTAAATACCAAAATGAGGCTCTACATATGAACAAAAATAAAATTACAAATAATAAAAACTCACAAAGTTCGACAAAATTAATTGTGTCCAAGTGTTTATATAGAAAAATACATGATTTAGTGCTCGTTTGGTGACCCTGTTATTCGGCTTATCAAGCTTATCAGCCAACTTTTACACCAAACACGTAACTTTTGATTTGCGTGCTGAAATGTGTAATAATAAGAAAAAGTAAGGTTAGAATTACTTTTCTGGCTATTTCGGCTGAAGTTACTGTAGAGGATTATTTTAGCTATTTTACATATTTTTTTTCTTTATTTTATTAATAAAATATATTTTAAATTTAACTTTTTCACAAATCAGCTGAATCAGCCATTACAACCACTAGGCATGAGCCGGGCCGGGCCTAGGACCGATCGGGCCTTTTGTGGTTGGTGGAAGGCCCGAGACCGTTGCCACCGGGTCCGGGTCGGGCCGGGCCCCGGGCCAGTTTCTATTTTTTTTCCTTTTTCTAATCAACCCCACCCCACCCCCTCCCAAACCACCTCAAATGGCCCAAATAACCCAGCCGAACCCGGGAAATTAAAAAAAATTGAAAAAAAAAGAATAAAGCCCGAACCGGGCCCGGCTCGGCCGGTTCCATATATAGCTGACCCGAGCCTGCACCGTAAACCCCCCGGGCTGGGCCTACCCGGACTGGTCCCTGGCCGGGCCACCGGTTCGGGCCGGTTCCAAACAGTGTCGGGCCGGGTCCGGTTCCGGGTCGGGCCACCCGGCCCGAGTCCAAGCCTAACGGCCACTTAAGCCAGAACTTCATAAATTTCAGTAAAATCGACCGATTCAGCCAATTTCAGTGTTACCAAACGGACTCTTAAAATAACTAAATATAATTATTATGTTATCATTTGAATAAAGTTGACTTGTCATCTTTGAAGCAAAATCATCTATCAAATCCTTGTACTCAATCTTCTCCAAATCGTCATTCTCCATTGCTATCATCGCTAAACCATTGAGTCTCTCTCTTGTGACATTGTAGACCGCAAATAATATTTCAACATTGCGATAGTTGTTTTAGCGTGTGTCTAATTTGCTAAAATGAGGATTGCGGAATGCGGGCAGCCCTTTTCTATTTATTTATTTTATTATTATTATTATTATTATTATTATTATTATTAATATTATTATTATTATTATTATTATTATTATTATTATTATTATTATTATTATTATTATTATTATTATTATTATTATTATTATTATTATTATTATTATTATTATTATTATTATTATTATTATTATTATTATTATTATTATTATTATTATTATTATTATTATTATTATTATTATTATTATTATATTTCTAATAATATTAGTAGTGTATTACCAGAGAACATGTTCAACATGCCAAAAGAGTGGCTATGCTTTGGGGGTGGGTGGAAAATTAAAGGGGTGTACACTAACTATTATGTGTCACTGTCGAATTGGTTATGTTGTCACGCATCAATGGGGTTTAATGCACCAAACCTCCCCGTGATTTGGAAATTCGGCGCATTAGTCCCCTGTGATTTAAAAAATGAATCAAACTCCCTTGTGTTTTAATTAATTGTGCACAGAACCCCTTTGTGAATAAAATGCATCAAACCCCGCATCAATGGAAAACTAGGCGACAATAGAGAGGGGCCTTGATGAGTTATGATAATTACAAAACGATGTTGGTAATTACTCCCTCCGTCCCTAATAAAACTTCCAAATAGGTTTGGCACTTAGTTTAAGATAATGGGTATTGTGTGGTGGAGAGTTGTGCAGAGGAGAGAGAAATGTGTAAGAATTTGTGTGAACCACAAATTCTTTACCAAAAAGGGAAAGTAGATGTTTTAATTGGAACAGACGAAAAAAGAAAGTTGGAAGTTTATTTAGGGACGGAGGGAGTATGTAAGATGTTGACAAAAATAGTGGTTGGTGGGGTGTTAATTTATTGTTTAGGGGCTTGAAGACATTTTGCCAAAATAAAGTTGCATGGAACGATGGACTCGGAAGAATGAATGACGGACTTGTACCAAAATTGTCCCACCAAAATTGTCCCAGTGTACACAGTCAACTGTAGATGTGCAAAAAAAACTTATTCATAAGGAAGCTAACCATTTACATTAGGGCTTTTTATTGATGCCTTTTGGTATCTCACATTCTCAATCTCCTCCTCGAGGGAATCTAGAATTTTGTCAGTCACATTGTTTGGGACACACCCAGCATCCAACATAATCTTCAAAAAATCATAAGCTTCCTTCAGCCTCCCAGCCTTACTGTGAACTTCAATAAGTGTATTATAAGTCACAACGTCAGGATTTATCCCCACACTTTTCATCTGTTGGAAAAGCTGATTTGCTTCCTCAATTCTGCCCGCTTTCCCAAACACATTAATCAATGTGTTATACATCACATTGTCAAGGTAACCACCACCCTTATTCATCAGTCTATCAAGAATATCACTTGCCAGATCTGCCCTTCCCATCTTTCCAAGACCTTGAATTATAACATTATATGTTGCTATATCCTCTGGGCAGACCTTTTCTCTCATTTGAAGCAAAACACCCCACGCCTCATTGAAGTACCCCTTCTTGACGAATGAACTCATCATGGAGTTATAGGTGTAGCTCACGGCATCCATACCCCCCACATCTGTGAAAATCTCAAGTAATTTGCAGGCCAAACTCAATTTACCCTTAGCTAGGAATATGGATAAGAAGGTATTCACCATGTCCATATCAAATGAATTTGGATCCTTGTCAGCGACACGTTTTCCTCTGGAAAGTGTGAACAAATGTGGAGAGATAATGTTAGGGATCGTTTGGCTAGCTAGAAAATCCACATATGGGGACGACGACCAAGGATCAACTTCATCATCACCAGTGTAAGCCCCTCTCTCTACTGTACCTAAGCCTCCGACAATGCCGCTTAAAACATCGGTCAAGTTGCCATCATATGGAAACATTCGTGTGAAGTCTTTTTCTTTGCTTTGTCTAGCTTCTAGCATAGCCTCCATGGATGCTTTCCACGTTAAGACAATGGGAACTAAATTCCTATCCTTAATATGCTTTAAAAGCCTATCGATCCAGTCCCAGTGCCCCTCACGGTAGATTGCAATTAATAGTGAAGTGATAGTGACCAAGTCGATAGTAAATCCTCTGCCTCCCA